AATTCTACTTGGCCGTATTGCGGCGTTTATATGAGATGAAGAAGCACAATTTGCCGAATCCAAGACGTTCTCGAGGATTGGGATTGTTGTATTCGTACAAAATTATTCTTACTCAACAATTGAACCATCGTAAATCGCGTGTATTTGCTGATTTCGCTTTGGAACAACTAAAAAACGATATTGATTTTTTAAAGAAAATATTTGTTTACGTTGAGTTCACTTTTATCTCAGTGGTGCGGCAAATCAACAAAACTGCCGACTCTGGTGCAAAGAAAGTCCACAAATTATTTACACAAAAAATGTAATTGTAAATTAACTTAATTTTAGTCTCAGTGCCTATATGTTAAGGTTTTTAAACTCAACTTTCGACAGCGCGTGTATTAAATTTTTCGACAGTGACAGTTTTTCGCTGCTACTGGCTTGTATTTTGTTCACACAATTTTATGCCATGTAAATCTGATATAATTAAAAAATAATCCAGAAAAACATTCAAACATTCTCAGCTTTTTTATGAAATTATAAGTAACGATAACATCTAAAAATATTGATCATTCAAATATTTATCGATACTATCAATAGCTTTGGCGATAATTTACTAACTTCGCTACTTACAAGCATTAAACGCTAACGAAGGCGCTTATCTGTTTGATTGCCAATTTTATTGCACTTGATTACTAAGCGGTGGGGCTTATTTCAGTGAATGATTAACTGAATACACTGTAAGTATTTACTTATGTCCAATTTGTTATTATTATTATTTTTTTTTAATCAAATTCTGATAATAAAACTACTAGAAAATGTAATTAGACAAGAGATTAGGAGACCACATACATGAAAAACGCTCTAAATTTTTTTTTTTTCAGTTTTTCTCTTCAAGAAAGTTGAACAGAAGAATGCCTCTGGAAGCCGGGAAAATTTTGCTGAAATTTATATTACAATCTCAGATTTATAAACAAACGCCCTCGTTTATATCCTATTCATTATAATTTCTATATTTGTACCTATAATTTGATGTTTTGGGCAAGATTTTAGCTTTAATTTAATCAGCTGCAGTCTGCTATTAAGGTTTGAAAATAATTTCGTGCAAGTCGCGGCTGTCTCGAATAAATTTCAGCCGAGAGGTTAAATGTTCGACCACTTTCGACAATATTATCTTCTAAGACATCAATTGTCTCTGGATTATCTGCGCAAAGAAGCGACTCCACATAACCACTCATATAAGCTCAGTATCAACATTTACTTTTACAAAAATTATGTATAAGCATATTTACATACATACACAATTAGGTAGGTGAGTACCAATAATAATGTAGCTAACCCTTGTAATATCAACACTTTACACGCTGTAATTTATTCGATAAATTATTGTTGCAATAAATATTAGAGGTAACCACGAATTAGAATCCTTTGTAATTGTTGTAAGTGTTGTAATTTGTTATACTTTAATTAGCTCATTCGTCAAGGAAGTTATGAAAGCCATACTACGAACGACCCCACAAAAGTAGCGGCAACTCGTATTCTAATTGGCGCGCAGTTGGTTTGAACCAGTTTTCTGACTTCATAATCCTGCTTGACGATGAGCATTTGACCATTTATGCAGCAAATCTTTCCGTTGCTGCGCTAACACCTCGCTTAATTACAGTTCTAGCCCAAACAGACTTCATTCGCTGTGACTAATAATAGGCTAAAGGCTGGAGAATAGCATTTCTATGACTTCAAATTGATTCTAATGCGAAGTGACTACAAGCGGCGAGCTGTTCGCAAGCATTCATATCACTTTGGAGGGTTTAATTGACGATGACTTTGTGAGACTGTACGTGCTTGAGATAAAAGGATAAAATAATGCTTCAGTATTAATCATAGGTATAACAGAACTGGTTTTTAAAGAAATTGATACTGGAAATATGGAGTAAATTTAATGTTGGGCTAAATATTCACTTATGTGGAAAGTTTAAGAATCTTGTTAATTTTGTATGGCGGTTGCTGAGGTTACCGAGGTTGAAACAACGCAACTTTGCCTACAGTGAACCAGGAAGCATAGCAAAAACTGCCATTAGCCGTCTCAATAAATGTGTGATAAACTCTAAGCGCTTTGCTGATTTGTAAGGGTCTTATGATCTATTATATAGAAGTTCTAGATACTACAATGGACCGACGTTCCAAGCTGTCCAAAGGAGATGCCGGATAGTAACGACCCCTAAAGGGTATTGCTATGGTCGCGGCGCATTCCTCGTTTCAATAATCGAACGACACCTTGCTCTAACTCAATCTACGTTATATATATTATGATTACTACAATTAGATTGAAAACTCCAGTAAGATCCGGAAGTTCTAAGTAGAAATAGTTAATTCAGAAGTTTAAAAAGAAGTAAAGTACTAATAAAGATAGATTTGCTTTGAAATATGCAGGAGCTGACATAAAAGGTCTTGCATTTTTGTACTAAATGTTACTATTTAGACAAAGATGGATTGAGAGAAAGAAAGAGAGCGAACTTTAATGACTTATAAATACAAAAGTTTCTTTTAGATTTCTCCACGTTTACTAGAAGCTTATCTTTTAACAATTTTATCGAAGTTAAAAAACTGATTGCGTATAAAAATAAACTACACGTTTTATCAGCCAATGGTGCAACGTTTGGCGAACCAACCTATCTAATTTCCCTTCAAATTAGAACTCATTCATTTTCTGCATATCCGACCATCACATTTCGAATCAACTGTAACCAAAGTTTGCAAAATATTTCACAAAAGGTGGTTCCCCAAAGGTACATATGGGTGAAAGATTTGATTTTACTTATATGGCTTGATAAGCTATCACGCTAGTATGAAGTGTTTATAGATATACTATATATGTTTCTGTAATAAAGAACTAACAAAGAAGTTTGTCCGGAAAGTAATAGGACTGAGTCGATTTAATGTTTTTGTTTAATTTAATTTCAAAATGGGCATTTTCTGCGCCGATGCAGCGCGATTTCCAAGCATTGAAGGCAAGTCACGGAAGGCATTCTCGGGGATGGCCTTGAGAGCCGAGGTATATGGGATCCTCTCTGTCGTCTCAAAATGCTTGCCTTTCATCGGCCCCTTCACGCAAGGAAACAAAAAAAGTCCGGGGGGCCATATCTGGGCTGTAGGGTAGCTGCGGAAGCGTTGGGTTGCCGGCTTTGGTTAAATAGCTGTTCACAAGAAAGGCAGTGTGAGCCGGGGCATTATCGTGGTGCTACTTCCAATCGGTTGCGATGTCTTTTCGGATCCGATGGGCGCTTAGTTTGAGTATCTTGAGGACTTCCGCGTAACACTTGACATTGACGGTTTGTCCAGGAAGAACATATTCATGGTGGACGATGCCTTTGATGTCAAAAAAGACAATGAGCATCGTTTTCACTTTGGATTTGCTTATGCACCGTAACAACTTGCTAAATCAACATCTGGGTAAGCCTGGTTGATTATACCAAACGTCTAAGTCGCAGATTAACCGAGTTTCACCCAGAATTTAATCGCGTATCTCTGCTCTAACGAACGCAGCATTTTCGCCTTGCACCACTGAAAGAAACAAGACGCGCGAAAATGTTTGTCCTGACTCTTCAGGTGCTCGGAGATACCAGCCAGTGACCAGCCCCTCGTTCGTTAGCTAGAAACGCCCGGAAAACTTTTTTATTAGACAAAATATATTCACGATATTTGTCATGCATTATTATCCTAAACAACGGTAAAATGTTCGAAGAAATTATTCGGATTGGATCGCCATAGCATATAGCTGTCATACCAGCAAACGAGAAAATCAAGTTTTGTATGGGAAACTCTTTTCGTAAGGAGATATCTTCACTTAATTTGGCATCAATCCAATTCCAAGAAAACGCTGCATGTTCAGATCTCTGAATAAATGGTTCACATCGGTTGACCGTATTACACATTCCTTATAGCACTGACAGACGAGCAAAATTAATGCGCCTTAATCAACGCAAATGCGCATTGAAATTTTATGATGACAGACGGCAGACTTGTGCATTTAGGCAGCTGATAGTGAAATTTGTTTATTTATTTAAAAAAAAGTGAAATAWAAATGAATAAGATAAATTATTAATAGAAATTTTGGTATTTTTGGAAAACCAGTATAAATTTTACTAACAAATTCGTTTAATATTAACTACGTCAAAAGGTAATAGAGTGAAATTAAAAGCAATAATTGATTGCAATGCGGAAAAAGTGTGCGAAAAAGTTAAGAATATTGGAATAATGGATAGCAAAATATGCGCTGTTTATTTTCTCTCATCTAAAAATATTAAATTTTTTTTTTGTTAATATACTTACACATAATTTAATTAGCAATATGAAACCGCTTACCTCTGATGCTGTAAACGCAAAGCAGGCGGCAGATTTCAAGCGACATAGTATATCAAAAAATAGCAAAAATCGGCAATTTATGAGTAGTGTTGCCTCAAATTTGGTAAATTCAGCTAAATGCACAAAATTCTTGTGCATTACAAACTTGCATTAATATGGGTCAAATGCGCAAGTAAATGTAAATTAAGCCCGCTAATGCATATTAGCGCTGTCGTCGCTCAGGGCTATTATACAAATTGACTAGTCAAAACCAAGTAACTGTCAAATTCTACTTAGACAATTTTTATCTCTTAGTAGCGTAGCTATCTACGATGACGATTACTGAGCACAAAGTATGAACTAACTTTAGTTGGTTAACTGATATTCAGAGGATAAACTGCGGCTCTGACGTCGTGACAATGACAGAGATAACAGTAAATAAGAAAATCGTATTTACGTAATCAAGAAACGAAAGACACTTATATAAAGTTAATAAATCTAAAATTTAGGCCTTAGACAGACATAAGATAGAAAAACGATAAGTTATAATATAGATTAGCGATAAGGCGAAATTTCTGTTGAATTCTGTGAAATTGGGTTTTTATTATCGGTCTATTTGGAACGATAATTCTTTATCGCTAATTTCTTGTGTTTATGCTTTGGACTTAAGTGGTTTAGTGAACGCTCAAGTACTGACAGCTATTTAGTCGAGAGTTCAAAGTCGGTTGGCGAGCACATACTTTATATTTGAAAAAGAGTTTTGAAAACATATTCATAAAATCAATCTTCCAATATGAGAACCGCAGAAGCTTTAGTCACCCTAGCTGTTTTTGGCTTGTGTTGTCTTACTTTTGGTACGTACAACATCGAATTCTTCCTTTTCAATTGTCAATAATTTCTAATATATATAATCTAATAGCCAACTCCTTGAAGTGCTACAGTTGCACCAGTACTAAGGAATGCAAGAAGCCAAGCAAATTGGAATGCAACTCTAACGCGGCCAATAAAACCCGTGATTATTTAAATCTATTATATACAGGTGTACCTGGTACGAATTTCACCAGCCAAAGTTTTGTATGTGTGCGTGATTGGTTGAAGACTTGTAAGTTTCGTTAATTTTGTACTTGTCATAATTCATAATTTATTGATTCAAACATATTTTTCTTATCTTTCTCAAAAGCCTCCAACGAATTCACATACAAGGGTTGCGCCTATAGTAATTACCAAAGTTGCAGTTACTCAGTGAATCCATATTACTCTCAACATCACGAACGTAAGTGCGCTCAATGCAACAGGGATGCCTGTAATCCCGCCGCACGTGCTAACGGTAGTCTATTGACAGTGATAACGACAATTGTGGCAACAGTTGCGGTGAAAATTCTGTGGCGCCCTCGAAGTTTTTAAATAAATTTTACGATCAGTTTTACGTAAAACAATGTATTAGTTCAAACTTTAGTTTTGCGTTTTTTTATTAAAAAGGTTGCCAGATGCTTCCAGCAGCACTAAATACCAGAGCATTATAATAGAAAAGTAGGTGGATATTCACAAAATGTGTTTACTTGAATATCTTTAATAATAAAAATTATATTGTGTTATGAAGTTGCCACCTGTTTATAAATTAAAAGTTTCTTGAAAATAAATTTTGACTATAAAAGTGGACAAAAGTGGCAAATTTAATTTCTTTAATTTGAATTTAACTTTAATTTGAAGACGCGTTGCCACCTTAACCAAATATATCAAACAAAAAAAAAAAAAAAAAAAAAAAAAAAAAAAAAAAAAAAAAAAAAAAAAAAAAAAAAAAAAAAAAAAGTGATAATATGAATATTAATATAATTTCCGTATTTTAATAGCTTTCTTAAGACAAATTATATGTTATAAAGTTGCCACCTGTTTATAAATTATAATTACTTTGAGAATTAATTTTGACTTAAAAATTGGTAAAAGAGCGAAGTCTACCTTTTCTTTGTTTCGAAATTAAGTGAGTAGAACCGGCGTTGCCACATTTAATAATTGAAACGAAATACAAAATATTGTAGATACTCACAGAATGTGTTTATTTAATTACTTTCTATAAAAAAAAAATTATATGGTGTTGCCACCTATTTGTTAATAATGAATTCTTGGAAAAAAAATGTTACTTATAAATTGGCAAATTATTGGCATATTGTTATCTTTGATTTGAATTTATGTTAAATGTGAAACGGTGTTGACACCTTTATTAAATATCGTGTTTCAAAAGAAAGAAATGTCTTAATGTATGTACATATGTACATTCATAAAATTTATTTCTTTTGACATAATACAAACTATTTTATACCATAAAGTTGCCACCCGTATTAAATATTTCAAGAATGGTATTAATATGGATATGTATAAAATAAATTATTTGCTATCGAGCTGTCACTTCTTTTTTGAATTATTAGAAATTAAAATTTGGGTTACAATTTGTTTAAAGAGCGTGGTTTTCTTCGCTTAGAATTTAATAATAGGGTTGCGGTTGTTAATAAAATACATATTATTTGAAAATAAATTTTCAAGAAAGGCGTCTTTTATTTCTTTGATTTGAAATATATGCATATATTATACATATATTTCAAAAATATGGCGTTGCCAACTAATTTGGCAACAATAATCAGGTACGAAATATCTACTGTCATCAAAGCAATAGTCTTCGCACTCGCGACTAGGCATCCACGTCACTGTTGACAGTCATAACTTCCTCTCTCGATGAACAAAATCAAAGATCTAAAAGTCAATCATTATTCCCATTTCGAGAGAAAAGTTCTGCGAAAGATATGACGACATTGACATAGTTCAGCGAATTAAAAGGAAGCGGCTCCGCTGGCTAGGTCATGCCAACCGAATGGACGAAAGCACTCCAGCTCGGAAAGTATTCCACGCACTACCCGCCAGGGGGAGCAGGAGAAGACGAAGACCTCCATTTCATTGAAAAGACAAGGTGGAGACAGATGTGGATTCCCTTGAAATTTTCAATTAGGGCCAATGGATATAATTTTGATATCCTTTTCTGGTATTTTGAATCGCAAATGGCGCGACTTATTGAAATGAAGAAAGTAAACCAAGGAATTTCCCATTAGTTATTAATCTATAGAGTGTTTTATTTCAAACGCATATCAATTTATCACTGGTACGACTGTTTATGATAGTTTCGAAAAAGGGAGCACTACAAACTTGTTTTTAGTAGATGGGTTTTGGAATTAGTTTGAGGCAAAACTGGTCCGCCGCAAATAGATTACTGACACAAAACAATTCGTCTACATCGTAATATCGGGTGATTTTTTAAGAGCTTGATAACTTTTTAAAAAAAAAAAACGCATAAAATTTGCAAAATCTCATCGGTTCTTTATTTGAAACGTTAGATTGGTTCATGACATTTACTTTTTGAAGATAATTTCATTTAAATGTTGACCGCGGCTGCGTCTTAGGTGGTCCATTCGGAAAGTCCANGAGCATCTTTCTCTTTGACACCATGTCTGATATCCCACGTGATCTGTCAAATACTAATGCATGAAAATCCTAACCTCAAAAAAATCACCCGATATATTGAACTCTTTCATATCAGAGCAAAACCAAATCTTATTTTCAGTATTATTTTTCTATAAGTGCGTCGCAATAGAGAGATAAATTGGCTGTGTAATTACAAATCGATCGTTTCTGAAAGCTATCAGTTTTAATTGGATTGAAGTTCGAGAATTTATTTGCAATGTCTCTAGAACAGGACATGTTCTCAAAATGTTTGTAAGACTTTTAGTTTTGGGTATACAAAACTTTAATATAGTATAGGCTTTTAGTATCTAGGCAGAAAAGAGTCAGTAGCACAGCTTATTAAGTATACAAACTATTTACACACAGTATACTTCACATTTTGAGAATGACTTTCATAAAAAAGTATCGGTACCAATATAGGTAAGTAATTCTGCATAAAAATATTGACGAATGTTTAAATATAGCTGCTATATCTATGATATGAGTAACCCGTCATAAAACAACAATACATTTTAAATAGGCCAATAGCGAGCAATTCGCGATACGAAAACAATCGATTAGTGCCTGCAAGTACATATATATGTTTTACTAAGAACCACAAGTGAGCAGTCAAATTTTAGCTGTTGAACTAACAACAGCTTATTTTAGAATTGATATAAGTTATTAATATTTTAAAAATGAAAGCCGCCCGAAACTTCATCACACTCGCATTTGTCGTCTGCTGTTGTCTCTCTTTTGGTAAGTAATGCCATAATATTATGTGTGGTTAACTTAAATAATATTGATTTTTTAATCGTCAGGCTTCGTCAACGGCTTGAAATGCTATTCCTGCGTAAGCTCGTATGATTGCAGATCACCGAAAAAAGTGGACTGTACCTACCCGTTGGCCGATGCGACTTTGAATCATCTGAACTATTATTATCTGAATGTACCGAGCACCAACACCACGAGGGATATGAATTGTCTGCGTGATTCGCTGCAGACACGTGAGTAAACGTTTACATTTTTTGGAGAATATTGCATTTTTTAAGTACTTCTTTTAATTTTAATTTGATTGCTTTATATATGATTTCAGCAAGTGGACCCGTTGATCACTGGGGTTGCATATACAGCAGCGTTCATGTATGCACTTACAGCGTGCGCCCACAATTCCAACAGAACTTCACGCGGTCTTGCCTTCAATGCAACCGGGACGGCTGCAATCCCGCCGCACGTGCTGGCGTCAGTTTACTCACAGTCGTGTCCGTAATAATTGTGACTGTGTTAGCGTCAGCGGTGTGGTGCAAGTGAAATTGTTTAAAGCGATTACCAATTAATCGATTAGAGTGTTTACGTATCTATTTGTTGTGTATGTGGTATATGTAATGCCTTTTCGATGTGCAATGATAACGAACAATTTGAGGTTTGAAAGCCAGATTAAAAAAATTAAAACAAGTATGTGGGGTCTCAGCCTTGCTTGATGTTGTTTGTTATACGTATAAAATATGGAATTTTATATTTTGGTGCTGCCACGTTTTTATAAATGAAATAGCTCAAAAACATTTAAAGATTGAAATGGATGTATTGAGCTCACAACAAAAATTGAAAAAATCTTCTCTATAAATGAAATTGAATTGTGATTTGAAACAGGGTTGCCACACTTAATATTAATTTCTAAGCGTAAATATATATAATGTAACAAAAATGCCATTATTAATTATATACTAATTTCAAATATACAATTTTATATTTTGGAGTTGCCACCTGTTTGCAATCAAAATAGCTTAAAAACATTTAAAGACGGAAGCGGTTGTAATGAGCCCACAGCATAAATTGCTTAAAAGTTTTTTTAACTTGAATTAAATTATGATATGGCAGCAGAGTTGCCACACTCAATAATTCTTCCTAAACTTAAACACACATAGAATGCAACAAAAATGCGATAGTCATTATGCAATAACTGATTTCAAAGAAGTATTATTATTAAATACAACATTATGACGTTGCCACGTGATTTTATATTTGAAACATAAATATATATTTCATATGCAAAATGTTCACAATCCAAAACGTAAAAAATTCATTGCAAATGTATTCCAAGTTTTCTCCTAGAAAATATAATTTTTAACAAGTTCGCGGAGTATGTATTAGGGGTATATCATCTGCTATCCTATTTATAACTCAAGTTGCCAAAATGTATGTAGATATTTTTTGTTACTTTAGAACCTTGTTGGATCGAAGTGCAATTTCCACAGCGAAAATGGTATGCTCCCGCCGACATCATAACTATGTAACTCAGAATTTAGTGAAGTGGTTCTTCAAAATAACTCTATAGTAGATGAAAAACTATATGTACTCTTGGATCTATCTATATTTTTCAACATTTTCTCAATTATAACTACCATCGACAGCCGCATAGTCGAAAATTCGGATATTAGTTATATGGCGGGAAAGTCAAGTATTCGCTCGAATTTATCTAGTTTAGAGATAACTCATATATTGGCCGATATATGCGGTAAAAAGTCACCCGTAAGTTCGACTATCTTTACATTAGATATACATATGTATGGAGACTAAAGAAGTATTGATTCGATTCAACCCATTTTTGACGTACATATATAATATTGTCAGAAAAGTAGTATGAATGAATTTCAATTATATATCTCAGACATTGACCTATATTTTCTAACACAAGTCAACTATAGGTACCGGGGCCAAAATATTCGCTACCTAGGGGCGTGTTGGATTTGAATAATATTTGGTTATACCGTAATTTGGCACACATTATGGGCATTATTCGTGCAAAGTGTAGACCCGTTATATTAATTGCTTCTTGATTTACGCACTGAAAACTGAGCGAATAAAATTTAATTTAAATTTCTGCTATATGGGAAGTAGGCGAAGTTGTTTCCGGTTTCGCTCATTTTTACAACATGACATAAGAATATAAAAAAATGCCAGATCCAAATTTTGTCTAAACCGATTGGTCCGGTCCCGAGATATGAGATTTCGCAAAAAGAGGGCGGCACCACGTCCATCTTCTAATTTTCGCACCGGCTCTCATAGAGCTTTCTGATACGATTCCGGCGGCAAATTTTTACGTCTCTGACGCATTTAGTTACTGATCTATCGCGCTTTTAGTAGTTTTCTACAGTACCGTTGTATAGGGAGTAAACGGGATTTTCACCCATTTTCACATTAAAGGTAGGAGTTTTTATGATATTTGCGCTGAGCGAATGTGGTTGTTAAAGTTTAAGCGGTTTAGGAGATATACAGATTAAGCTAATTACAGGGCGGGGTCACGGATTTCAACTTTCCTCATTATATGATACGTACAACCGTTAGGTGAACAATACTATAATACTCTGTAGAAACTGGTAGCAAGAGTATAAAAATGATCAGAATGGCGAGCTGAGTCGGTTTAGCAAATTTCGCTCACGTCCTTATCTTTCGAAGAAGGTGCCGGTCTTTTGAAACAGCTGTGATCGGGCCGCTGTCATACAAACTGAAAGATCGGAATCAAGTTCTTGTAAGGAAAACTTATGATATTTGCCATTTATTATTATCCTGGAAACGGGAAACGAAGAAATTATTCAGATCGGTTCGCTATAGAAGTTTCTACTATTTTTTGCTATAAGATATACACCTTTTAACGGTATGAGAGTGTAGTTTAATATCTTTTATAAGACAAATTACATGTTATGAAGTTGCCACCTATTTATAAATTATAACTAATTTGAGAATTAATTTTGACTTAAAATTTGGTTGAAAAGTGAAATCTTTCCTTTCTTTGTTCTGAAATCAGGTTCAAGTTCAAACGGCGTTGCCACCCTTATTTGATAGTTGTAAGGAAAAAATAATGGAAATTTTGTAGACTTTCCCGAAATGAGTTGAAATTATTTGTTATGAAGCTGCACCCTTTTTATAAATTTTAAAGTATTGGAAAATAAAATTTGGCTTTCAAATTGGTAAAACAGTATGGTTTCTTTGGTTGAATTTCAGTATTTGTTGGATGAAGTTGCCATCTGTGCAAAAATCAGGAGTTGGCAGCCAATAATTACGTCCGTTTTTTAGGAATAACTTAGCGCGAACAACGCGTAACAGTCAAGTAGTATTCCGTGTTGACAGTTTGGTCCGAGGGAAGGAATTCGGAGTGCATCACACCTCAATAATCGAAGAAAACTCTCAACATAACTTTGATTTTTTACTTGCTTTGGATGTGATTTTTTCAGCTTCAGCGTACTTTTGTCAGAACATTAGAGCGATTGACCATTTGTTTTTGGGTTGTAAGCCTAGATTCAAGGCTCAGCACTAGTACAAATACCTTTCGTGACATCACAAATGGTCTTTCAAAATGATTGTCACCCCTCCGATATTCCAACGTGAGTCGCGGTAGAGATGAATTAGATGCGTAATTAAAAATCGGTCGTTTCTGAAAGCTATCAACATCTGACAAGCAAAGGCTTGAAGCTGGAGTATTTCATTTCAGTGTTTTCAAAACTCAGGCTCTCAAATATGTTGATGGACATTCGAAGGCAGCAAAAAGTTTGTAGAACTCTTAAATTGTAATACAGGGCGGACTTATAGCACCCGGACAGAAAAGAGTCAGCAGCAGAGTTTTTTGAAATGTATACAAACTTTTTGCACACAGTATATTTCACATTTTGAGAACGACCTTTATAACAAGCATCGGAAGCTATGTAGTTATGTACTTCCGCTTAAAAATATTGAGGAATGATTAAATATACATGTAGCGTTTCCAAAAATATAAGTCCTGCGTAAAAAAAGTATATGTGACCTGGTCTACGAAAAGGAGCTAACGTGCGAAAACTAGTTTTCTGGGAAACAGCTGTCAAAAAAAAAAGCATCTCATCTTCCATCCGAATCAACTAAAAAGTGAAAATTTATTGTTTGACACCTAAGCCCCCTTTCCGTAGACCAGGTTACAACATATTTGAAATAGGCGAATAGTGATTACTAAATACAACATTGTGACCTGATTTGCTTTATAAAAAAATATATATGTAAATGTAAATATAAAATGATTATGGTCCCAATTATAAAAAAATCAATGAAAATATATTTAACGTTCCCTCTAGAAAATATTGCTTTTAACAAATTCTCAGAGTATTAGGGACATATTAGCTCCTAGTTTATTCACAGTCAACTCAAGGTGCCAATATATGGCTATTTTCTGTTCTGCTCATCTTACAGTGAATCACTAGTCGAGAGAGAGTTACCGAAAATATCGGCCAATGAGCGGAAAATATAATATTACAGGATTTGGAACAGCACAAATGCAGTGCAATATTTGAATGGCACCTGCATTAAACACTTCTACTTTTTTGTAAAAAGGAAACTAGATTATAGCCGCTGTTATCAAAGGGAATTTCGATCCCTGGGGTTTCACTTTCAAAACAACAAAAGTAGCGCTTACAAAGCATTCCCTGAATAAGACCTCTGCAAATTCTCAAATATCGGTCGATGAGACGTATTGATTTTCCTTGTCATCCTCCTCTCCAGATCGAGCTATGACTAACGTTGTCGGTTGACAGCTGGAGACTAGTTTTGACAATCTCGTCCATGATTTCATTACCTTCGATGCCTTTGTGACGTAAAACCCAATAGTAGGGCAATCGCTGAGTTCTGAAGTAACAGGATAAAACTCGATTTATACTTTTGGAGAAACATTTCCTCTATCCTGTTAAAGTAGATATCATAAATATAAAAGTGGTATCAGTTCTAAATGATTTTGAAATCTTGGCTCTTAACCGTGGCATCGATAGTCCGAGAAAGTTTTAGCCAACTCTAAAGATTCACAGATTTTAAGCGAAAAATTTTCATATCAGAAGCCAAACATTTATTATTTGCAGATATCAATCTTAAGGTTGATTGTGAGAATGTACGTTACTCTCCCTGAGGAATATTTAAAAATGTCGAATGTGTCTTCTTAGCCTATATGCTTTAATATTTGTACATGAGAATTTAAAAATTTGATTCTATCCACTCAGTCCACATCTTTTTTCGTGATAAAAATTGAAAAAAGGTTTGGTACGCGTTACTCAGCAATAGGCTAGCAATACGCTCAAATCTTAAGAAAAAACCCAACTTGAGCTGAGTTGAAAAAATGCGTTAGCCAGAGAATGTCATATCATAATCAACGCTTAAATCAGAGAGCCGAGACTGAAACGATGATGGTGAGCAGCAAATTCAATTTCCATACAACTGTTCCCACTGCACAGAGCAGAGAAGAGAACGAAAGTAGGGGAAGTAAGACAGTAAATTAAACGAAACGAAGAGGTCAAATTGGAAATAAAGAGCAGCACTGATACAAAGAGATGAGAAGAGCACACATGCTAAAGAATGATCAACACTTGGCTGGCGCTGAGCACATAACCTAACCAGCAACGTTCAAAGCGAAGGATCGCTGGATGCTGTAGCTGCGGCACCCATTCGCATGAATACAAGTAAGCGGAAATACAGCAATTGAGTGTTTCGCTCTTTGTCTGCAGATTCCTGCGGCGTTGTGGTGATACAGGTACGAAACGGAGAATTCCTGTGCATTTCCCATACACTAACCGTGGCTAAGGTGCACGAGGAAAAAGGTACAAATAGCGCAGCAACGGCAGGAAGGGCATCATTCAGCCACAGAGCGCGGCAGTGTCAGGACAGCAAGACTCCAAGACAAGACACTAAGTTTAAGAAAATTTCTTACGAAACAAATTTCGTTCAACATATCGCGAACCGCAAAAATGGCACTCGGCAGCATCACCAGCAACAGCCAACATCCCTACCAAAGACCGCAAACGACGCTGTGCGACACAACACGCAACATGTACCAGCCACAGCCGCGTGTCATCGCACCTGCGCCACACACACCGCCATCCGCAACGAAAGCGCTGGGTGAGAAATATTCTGCTAGCGGCACCACACTCGACTCCAATAATCCCTCGGTGGTGCGGCGTAACGCACGCGAGCGCAACCGCGTCAAACAAGTGAACAACGGTTTCTCGCATCTGCGCCAACACATACCGCCAGCGATTATTGCCGACCTGAGTAACGGGCGCCGCGGCATTGGACCGGGTGCGCACAAGAAACTCTCCAAAGTCGATACGCTACGCATGGCTGTGGAATATATACGCCGTCTGCAGCGCGTTATCGACGAAGTAGACGGCAAACGTGCGATCACGGTGAGCGCAGCAGCGCCACCACACACACCGATTTGGTCCGATATGCCAAGCAGCGCGCATAATTCACCACCGCCAACGCCACCGAAGAGTAATATGCAGGCAACGATGTTCGCTGATAAAATACAACAACACTACCAAACACTCAACTATGCCGATAACATGCAACAGCAGCAGCAGCAGCAACAACAACAACACAACCAACTCATTAACCTCAAGTACCAACAGCCGCTAATGGCGCAACAGTATTTCCAACAGCATCCTGCTTTGGTATCACCAGCTGGCTCGGTCAGTTCGAGCACCGGCAGCGACTACAACAACTCTGATGCCTCATTATACTACACACATTCACCAACTGCCTTGGTGAGTCCAACACAGTTTTCGCTGCCTCTGCAAATGAAATACGAGCAGCAGCAGTACAGTGAGGAGGCCGCGGCGTGTAGCTCGGGCGAAGAGGAGGATCTGCTTGACTACATCTCGCTGTGGCAGGATGAGGTGTAAAGTCGGCGTCCACTGAGTTTATGTCTGCAAATCGAGTTACCCACTAGTCAGCTGCCGCAACTGAGCGACCGTACGCGTCGTAAGCGTCGTAAGCGTCGTAATTAACCAATGACTGAAACGAGTATTACCTCATTTGAAACTTGTTAGTATTGTTTAGTCGTAATTATTTATTTTATCGAGTATTTTTTTTTTTTGATGAGCGTTTGTACAAATGAATGTTTAACTATTGTGCCTGTTTGTAGTTTTAAGTTTTGTTAATTTTAAATTAATTTTAGTTTATGCTTTAGCTTTAGTAATGGAAGACTTTGATTTAAAAACAAATTTTAGATTTAATTGCAAACCAATGGAAGACACTAAATATACAATCTACAAAATATTAAAAAAATATTGTTTTATCTTTTATTTTGGAATTTTGAAGTTGGATGTAGAACCACGGAAGATATTTGTTCTAGCTACGGAATATGTAATAAGTTTCATCATCACCTATATGGACTTACAGAATATTGGGAGACCAGTATAAGTGGAAAACAATGTCTTTGGGATTGGGTATTACATATTGCTGAGGTTAGCAGAATCTTTGTGAGGAGGAAAGCTCAAATTTCATGTTCTTTCTCCTGGAACTACTAAAAAATTGTTTATTACAATTTTCATAATTTTTTGCTTCTGATTTCCTTGTGCCTCCATGAAGTCAAAGAAAGTGGCTTTAAATCAATTTAATAAATTTATCGGAAAATCCGATCTTCCCCCAGTATACAGAAACCATTGAAATGATAACAGGTAAAACCTTTTTGGTATGGTGGGAATCGTGCAACACATTGCCAATTGCAAGTCAACCAAAATTGTTGTTGTGACGTCGGAGGTTTTATATTATATTTTTAAGAGTTCAAAACTTTATGGTTTTTCCTCCAAAACTAACGATTTCAAAGACAGTGCTTTTACCATCACTAAACCGATTTATTTGTACACTATTTCTTTAAATAATTTACACGGAAATGCGGCAGAGTTGTTCTCAATATTGTTAATGATTTCTATTACAATATCAAATTAAAACTGTTTCGAATCCATTTTCCATTATGATACAATTATTAGAGTCAATGTTTGGGGAAACCAGACGGAGGGAGGATATTAAAATATTTTATAATATATTTCCTTCCGAGTGTTACAAATATCGTGGCAAACTTAATATAACCTGTTCAGCATATAATTACTATTTATGGCGAGCTCATTAAATTTTTCTATAAAAAGAGATGAGGAATTCATCTGATGTAGAGGATCTATGTATTTCTTGATAGGAACGCTTGGAATAATTATTTCGATAAAGTAGGTCTGAATATCATAAAATATAAAAAATATGCTGAACCAAAACCAAATTAAATCAAAGGATTTGATCTCTTCTGGTTCAGGTAAGAAAAAAAATAAACTATCGTAAGGTGTATAATAAAAGGCGGATATGACTCGATTTTGGATTGAAAAATTTAAGAACATTAATTATAAAATCGGTATTTTGAATAATATAAAGTAGAATCGAAGGGATATAAATGGTACACAAAGTCAGGGTTAATAAGGTCATACGTTTAGCGTCGAGTTACTAGATAGTTCTCCAAACGCCTTATCTAAATTTTGGTAAAAATAACACATTGTACAGTAAAATCAAGATGTTTTTGAATATTGGACAAACACAATTTAATTATGATTATTATTATTACTATTATTATTTATTTGGAAAGAATAATACAATTATGTCTTTACAGTATAAGAAGTTTCAGCTTTAGCTAATAATGCCATAAAATTCATAACTTATTAAGTATAATATAATATTAAGTGAATTACAACTAAAGTATTTTTGAAAATCCGCTTTTGCACTCTTTTGAGAATTGATAATATGGGGAAATTTTTAGTTATGGCGGTGATCATCGGATTGAAAAATATTACGGGTTCTGAGTGCAAACGTAGCCATTAGAGCTGCATTTCTGCTGCGAAAAAAAGTTCTTCCTGGAGAGTTTGCTTGAGGTCTGTGATCAATATATTGCCACATAGTCGAGAGACTAGAACGAAAAAGCTTAGTGGATAGTTTAAGTAGTGCCCTTGTTGAAAGTTTCGAAAATTTTACTTATTTTGATATATGGATGTGGTATCCTTAGAGAGTGGCAGTTTGGTAAAAGCTTTGGGGCGGTGGCAGGTTATGATAAATCTGCCAAAACTTTAATTTCTCATTATTTCATGGTAAGAAGGCTCAACAGCAAGTAATATTTCGAAAAATACTAGGGCATGTTGCGATCCTATTTAATTCTTTGGGGAAAATTGTTGAGCCAGAACCAAATTAAACCATAGGATTTGATATTTGCTTTCATGGAAACGAAATAGGGAAACAAATTTGGTTTTGAAATAAACATTGAGTGCGGTTATCGAATGAACTTGCTTAAAATTTTCTTAAATTGAGCTGTGCACAAACTTATGGGGCGATTCAAGTCTAGAGGCCTGAATTTTGGGCGATTTGACAATTTTCAAGTAAAAAAAATCTACATTTCCACCATCCATTTTTTAATATTTTCTTTTATTAATTTAGCATATAGTTTATTTATACCCTGAACAGTCGTTACAAAGTCGAAGTCCCTGAACTGGGACTATTAAGTTTGTCACGGAGTTTGTAACACCCAGCTGCAAGCGTCGGAGACCCTATAAAGCGTATATATAAAAGATCAGTATGTTGAGCTGAGTCGATTTAGCCATGGCCGTCAGTCCGTCTCTCTGTATATATACGAACTAGTCTCTCAGTTTTTAAGATATCGTTTTGAAATTTTGCAAACGTCATTTTCTCTTCAAGAAGCCGCTCATTTGTGGGAACTGCCGATATCGGACTACTACAACTTATATCTGTCATACAAACTAAATGATCGGAATCAAGTTCTCGTATGGACAACTTACACATTTGACAATGTATCTTCACAAAAGTTGGCACAGATTATTTTCTAAGATAATAATGTAATATACGAAAAAAAAATTATTCAGATCGGCTTACTATAGCATATAACTGCCATACAAACTGAAATATCGGAAAGAAGTTCTTGTATGGAAAACTTTTGCATTTGACAAGATATATTCACGAAATTTGGCATGGCTTACTGCTAAAGGTAATAATATAATATCCGAAGAAATTTTTCAGATCGGCTCACTATAGATCATTTAATGATCTTCAATGTTTGTCCACATACCGGAACGATGAACATATCACCTTCAGCTTGTAATTTTTGGTATGTTTGAATGATGAATTTCAGTTTTTTATACTATAGAGGGATATACATATAGTTATGAAATATGCCAAATATCCAGTAAATCGACTTCTTAGAATTCTAGATGTCGCGACCTCATCGAAAGAAGTTGTTTGAAGTAAAACACGCCTTCAGTTTCGTCAACCATTCAAACAGGTCTAGTTGTTACCACTTCACATCTGCTATAATTTTGAAAATAAGTTGCCATTAAGGAAGTTGTACGAAAACATCAAAGTTTTCGAATTTCTTGATTAGAATACCTTCTTACGTTTTAGCATCAGAATGAGCGTATAAAGTTCGAATCTAAAACAATGATTACGAAAATTTCTCAGAAAAGTGTTATTGTTTCACACTTTGTGAATAAAGCGAAACTTAGCATATTATATTGTTATTGCAATTAACTTGTTAACAAGGGTTATCGGGTTAACTTCGTTATTAACGATCGCGTGGGTGCACCGATTTGTCATATGGGTTGTTAAAATATTTTATTGTCGAAAATTAAAGAAAGTTTCCCAAACCAAAAGCGAATATGGGAACACGCAAGCGCAAGTATCAGCTATAGCTGTATATTTGTACTACATGCACGAGTATGTTTGTAAATCTGTGTCCGCTAAAGCGCCGAGCTGCAACAGCATTTAGCAAGTGTATTTTATGTGATTCCTTTGTATTGGGGAGCAACTTAATTTACTTATCTACCCTCGAGATGTCAACCGTTTTCCGTTAACCGCATTATTTGCATACGAAACAATAATAACAATACAAACATATACAATATCAACAACAAATTACAAGCGGTGTTTTGCGATATCGCTGCAGAGGCATCAACAGCGCGCAGACAATTGCGGCAACAAGAGACCAGAGTGAACTGTAAATTTGTAAGCAATGCGCTGGCGCAGCACAGGAAGCCACATTTGCACACAGTTGTGGCAACTTAAATGATTTCCAATCAGTGCTCGGGCAGCAAAGTTGACTTACTGCCGAGTGCGCGGAGGCCAGCAGCGCGCCGGTGGTGGCTGAGCGGATGCTCATGTTCGCATGCGCGACATAATCGACACGCAGATCTGCGCGGCGACCACAAAAGCAAATGACAGCAGCGGTGGCAGGAATCGCAACAACAACAACAACAAATATTATGCAGCATCAGTAGTCGCAAATCAGTTAAGGACGCAGCCAAATCAGCAGCAATAACAAACACAACAGCAGAGATAAACAAAAAAACTATAACAACAACAAGAGCGAAACATTTAAAAACAGCAACAAGCTGGATAGTGGCAAAAATAATGTCAGCGAAAGCTGTGCAAATCGGCGGCTCTCAGCGATTTTACAACAGTTTTGCGATTTGACTGCCTTTGGCTTCAAGTTTAAGCGCAAATACGGTGTATGTTATTGTTGTTGGATTCAACGCTGAGCAGCAATAATGTGTACAACAGTTGTTAGTGGTTATTGATGATTGGCAATTGCCTGCTGTTGTGGAACACTGCAAGATTTTTGTTGTTGTAGAAGTGGTCGTTGTTGTTGTTGCAGGCGCTGTCAATTGCAAAGATGACAAAATGCGGGACAATTGGTTCGTAGCTGTAGGTTTTGTATAAATCTGTTTTATTATTGTTGTTGTTGTTGTTGCAGCTCATCTACATATCGATTTCAAAGTTTCTGTTCCAGCAATGCCGAATTTACCGTTGAGTTACATGGCATCACTGCGCATCGATCGCGTTGGTGTTTGTCCACCAGCTGTGAAGACGTGCATGTGTGTGTGTGCATGTGTGCATTTCGGTCACAGATGTGAATATTTTAGACAGTATTTAAAGATTTTCTTATTTCCACATTGGTAATGAGTGGTGGGAACAACTGTGATCAGATGAAATTAGTCGAAAACGACCAATAAGCACGAACAGTTCGAAATCTTCGACTGATACCGGCTGATACCGTTAAAACTGGCCAAACATTCAAAATTTAATTTTACCATTTTTTGTCTAAATATGCGAGATCCGAGTTCATCTAAGGTCTCATCTGAAAA